TCGTTGAGCATTACTGTCGATAGTTCCCCAAGCTTCCTCTTGTTAGTGAGGAGATCTTTCATGAATTTAGCATACTTGGGCATTTTCGACAATGCCTCCACGAAGGGCATACTGATGTTCACCTACTTTAGCATTGTCGTGAACTTGGCAAACTCAGTCTCCAGTCGGTCTTTGTGCAACAGTGTACGGAAAGGAAGCTTAGGAACATACTCCTTCACCACTTGTTGTGGCTTAGGGACAGGCACCTCAATCTACTTTTCCCTGTCTTTCCCATCTGTTGGAAGTGTTGAAGTAGGTCTCTCCTATGTCTGTGTGGCCCGAATAGGTGGATTGGCAGTCACCCTGCCACTCCTGGTAGTGATGGCGTTGCAATGCTTATTCGGGTCCGGTGGGTGCCGGATGGTCTGACCAGGTAAGGTACCCGGAGCTCTTTATGCTACTACCTGAGCCACAATCCCTAGCTGGGTCTGGATATCCCGCAGAATACCTTCTGTATTCCGCTGCTCGGCTTCAAGTGAACTCTGCTTAGCTTCAAGTTCCAGGAATTGCCCCGAAGCCTTCTCCATGAACCGCTCCATGTTGCTGAATTTCTGGTCACTGGAGTTGGCAAGGGAGCCAACAATGTCTCGCAACTCCGCCATTGGGTCACGCAGTACTAGGAGGCTGGGACCTTACTTGGCTGTTGAAATTGATGCACTTGTTGTTAAGGAACAGTCTGCTCCTGTCTAGCCGGATAAAGAGGCTGCTGCTGCTAGAATTGCCCCTGCCTGGGCTGGTATGGCGGTCTCCAGAAACTGAGTGGTCCCTGGGTTCCTGGTGGCTTAGGATTACTACCACCCAAGAAAAGTTAGGATGTTGGCGCCACCCTTTGTTATAGGTATTGCTATAGGGGTCAAAACGTCGAGCATTTCCGATGAAGTCCACCTGTTCTTGGGGTGTAGTAGACTCCCACATCGCCAGGCAGTCTTCCACTATGTGCTGGCTACTCTTGCACCACTGGCAGTACATGCCCTATTTCTGCCCTGCCCCAAGAATTATCCCATTGCGATATATAGCTGAAACCAGTTTAGAGACAACCTGCACTAACTCAGATGACTAGGTGTCCATAGCGTGCACACCCCCGCCTGGTGCTCGCTGAGACCTCCTAGATGTTCCCCAATCATACCCCTACTCTGCCATCTCCTCAAAGAGCTGGTTCAACTGTGGTGACGTCTTAATCAACATGTTCGCGTCACAAACCGAGTCGATCAGCTGGTTATCTTCAGGGAATAGGGATCATAGAAAGTTCCCACCTTGAAAGCACCATTGAAACCATGATTGGGAAACTTCAGAAAGAGACTAGTGTATCTCTCCTAAGCGTCCTGGATAGTTTTGTCCTCGTCTTGGTCAAAATGGGTAATCTCCTTCAATAGATTTGTCGTTTTAGATGGAGGATGATAGCCGGTCAGAAAATTGTTCGCCAGATAGGTGAATGTAGTGATCGATCCCGTAGGCCGGTTGTCCAGCCACATCTTGGCCTGTCCCTCTAGAGTGAATGAGAAGTACCTCAGCTGGATGGCATCCTGCATGACTCCATTAATCTTGATTCCATCGATAAGCTCATGGAATTGCCGCAGGTGTCCTCTGGGGCACTCGCCCTATTTCCCATGGAATACCACCGAGCACAACATGGTGATGACATAGGTGCTCACCTCAAAGTTTTTAGCATCAACTTGAAGGTGTTGGATGGAGGACCTCAGGTCTGCAGCTCAGGGAATACAATAATAGTCCATTGTGTGCTGATCGGGGACAACCGCAGTGTTAGCATTTGGGTCATCCATTTTCTCCTCCTGGTTGATGTTTAGCTGAGCTAGAGTTTCCTCCGCAGTGAGTCGCGCCTTTAACGCCCTCTTGAAGTTGCGACAAGTCCTTTCAAGCTCTTGGTCTAATGGCAGTAGATCTCTCGATTGGCTACGGGTCATGCACTACCTACATACATACTGCAAACACAACCCGTGAATGCACATAGGTGGAAGAGAGAGAATGCAGTAAAGAAAATACTAAAGTAACAGACTTACAAGTTTCTACAATAACCTAGAATGTCCCTGGCAACGACACCAAAAACTTGACATGCTACGACATAATGCCAAACTACGACCAAGTGTAATCACAGAATGGAAATGCATAATAGTGGGTAAGTTTAATTTATCAACCTGGGGTCTAGATCTACTGCCTACTCATTGAACTTCTAATATCTAGCAAGACTAATTGAGTGAAATGTGAATTTAAACCAAAGCAGAAAGAAAGCAGTAAATTGTTCGGTTTTCTAAAGCAAGAGAAGAATCACTCGGGAATGAGTCCTCCAAGCTCCTTAATTAGGTTCAAGTTGTAATTCTCTTCGGTTGATTTACTATTGATTAAACTGCGGATGATAGACCCAGTTCTTAACTGACAAAATTTTAAAAATATTAAACACCTCTCCTTTCATTAATACTCTCGATAAATTCTTAATTATTGCAGTACCCGAAATACCTGAAAATTTGTATTATACCATCAGAAGCCTTCATCTCCTATGATTGTTTTTATGTTTAACTATTGTTATTGTTTTTTCCTTTACCTTCATTCACTTTCTTATTTTTTCTTTAAATTTCATCTTTGTCCTTTTACTTTCCCTCTCTTTTCATAACCATTACTTTTGTCCTTTCTTCCTTTCCTTCCAACGTCCCCCTTCCCTTCTTCTTTCTTTTCTTGGCATATTTCTCTCGCCCCCTATCTCATACAAAGAAAGGAAGACAACTAATACAAACTTATTTTTCTCTTTCTTTCCTTGTCTTTCCCACATCTCCCTTCCTTCATGTGAAGTGGCAGAACAATCATTCATCTCCTTTCCTTCTCTCTCGTTCTCTTTATTTAATCTTCCCCCACATACATTATTAACATGACACTTACACATACATCCTATTCCCCTTTCTTTCTCCCAAATTCCTTCACTCTCCCACACATAAGATACATCTCCCACATACATGGCCATGCATGAAAAAACATCACATTCCACTACCACGTCTACAACAATAAAGGAAAGACAAGAACATCATTCCTTCCCCCTACTCCTTTTTCATACATTCATGCAATGCCATGCATACGTAGAGAACTAAAACCAATTCATATACCCATTTTCCACATATTCATACTCTTTTATATACTTACATTTTCTCCTACTTTCACATACACACTTGGACTTTCCCATATACAATAATCGGTGAGGAATATTGGTGTATGAAGGAGAATGTTAAGGTATAATGGAGAATATTAACGAGTATAGGGGAATAATGGAGAATGTTGGTGAATTTAACGTAAGTCGAGGAATTCAACTACGACTTTTTACTATAAATAGGGAGCAACCCTCCCCCTTTCTCATAACACCATAAGTCACTTCACACAACGCAAGTCACACACACAACATAAGTCGCTTACGACTACTTCACACAACACAACTCACACCCAATACACTCTCTCTACTTTTCTCTCTAAAAACTTTCTCTCTCTCCTCCTAATCTCCAAAAATGTGTTAAATCTCTAAACACTCAACACACCCTCAATTTGGCGGACTAAGCCATGGAATCGTGGATAATCTCCACCGGTCGGCATTAAATAGCCCACGGCGCATAATTACGGCCGTGGGATTGAACTAGATCTAACGTTATCGTATTTATTTTATTCCATTCATGTTACTAATTTGAGCGTCGGAGGAGGTTCCAACCAGGACTCCCCGGTGGAACCTTTTTTCCAGGTATTCGCACGAAGCCTGAGGTGGTTAAAGGCTTTGGGAAATCAGCGCTCTCCGGACCTTAAACATATTGAAGCAGGCTGCTCCAAGATGGCATCAACAATTGGCGCCCACCATGGGGCCTAGTGAGAAGAATATTTCCACAAGTTTTAACAAACCACCGCTAAGCTGTGATGAATACCCAAGGTTCTCCCAACATTCCTACTATCGAAGCAGTACGTCACTCTTTAAGATTAATCGAGACTGGGGCCAACCCAACCCACCGTTCACCACTCAACGAGGCACCAAGTCAAAATACAGAGCCTAGAGTGGTACCACTTGCACAAACTACCTCTATTCCGGCACCAGAAAGAATTCTCACCCCTACTCCGGCACAAGTACGTGAGATGCATGCTGAGATTGAGTGACTCATATCTCAACTCAAAGCCAGAGAGGCCTCCCATATTAATGCTCTTGGTTCTTCCAGAGTACCGGCACCAAACGACTAGGAGAGAGTTGTTGCCCATGGCTCAATCAATGAACCACCCAATGCGACATCAACACCCGTTATATTAATTGCCCCGAGTATCTCAACCAATCTACTTGAACCATCCCAAGGACATGGAGTTGTCTCTTCAATAGGAGTAGGAGGACCTCTATCCAGAATCATGCAGGATGAGCCCTACCCACCAAATCTCCATTTACCAAGCTTGCCAGGTACGTCATTTTTTTACAGTACTTCCCTTTTTCAGACCATATTTTCAAACTGTAATCCTCCCTTGCAGATTACTCGCACTTTCAGAGGTGTATGAGGAATAGAGAAGTGCAGAGCAGTGCCTCACTCGTATGCCGGGGTGTCAATTCGTGAGAGACCAGATAATCCCCCGCGTGGACGGTCGAGAGTTCGTCATGATAAGGAGAAGAGAACTCGTTCCTGGGTGAGAGGATTAGGAGATTCACCTACTAGGAACGGCCGCTCTGAGGGGAGATCCAAAGATGCCAAGGGAAAAAGCCCAGTGGGCGGTTGGGGAACCCTGAAGCATCAGGGGGAGTCTTCAAGTGACAGTAAAAGTGCAATTTTGGCTGGTGGTGTCATAACATATGACAGTTTTTGCGATGCGGGGAAACACTACCCCGTCTTAGAAGATGTAGCCACAGGATCGACTTTTTCTTCTTATGTTTCAGAGGTGCTTTTACGTTCTTCCTTTCTTTTTTGGTCTTCAACTTATATATGATATATTGACGTTGCTATTTTGCGAATAGCTGGCGAGGTATGTTGTTTCCATGGAGTGTCGCCTAGCTATGGCAGAGCTTCGGGTTACTGAGGCCCGAGAGGATGCAGCTCGCTCTTTGGACAAAATGAGAATCCAGATGAAGACAAGAGAGGATAAATTTTCTTCCAAGTCTTGTAAATGGAATGCAGACATGGTGGAGGCTCAACAACATGTTGAGGCAGCCACACAGGAGTTGCGTACCTCAGAAGTAGCTGAGGCTGACCTTCGTGAAAAAGTTGAGCAGCTTCACGCCAGTATGCGTGAGGAGAGGCTAATCAGGAGGTCTTTACGGTCGGAGAATACTGGTTACACTCAGAAAACACCACCCTCCGATCAGATAATAATACTCTACGTCATCAGTTATAGATGGCGGTTTCGAGAGTGATGGATAATGTCCATCGCCTAGCCAGGAGGGAAATTTATTGTATGTATCCTGAAAGAGATATTGATGACACTCGCCTTCTTCAAGTGGTTGAAGAATGTGCGACTACTTTGGAACCTGAGGAGATTACATCCCAAAATATGAATGTCATGGAGGAACGCGCCGGTGCTCCTCAGTCTGGGGAAGCAGCAAGCCAAATTTCGAATGTGGAGATTGAGTTCCATCGCATCTCGCCACTTTTAGATGCGGTTTTTGAAGCACCTCCAATGGTTGGCACCCCAGTGCATTCTGACTTTAATATCTCTACGACAATGTTGTTGGCTCCAACCGAGTTACTCGGCCCAGAGTTTTTTGAGAACTAAACTTTATGAAATTCCAACTTGAAATAACATTGTAAAATAATATGTAAGATACTCAGTCATGTGTATAGCTTAGCTTATAAACATCTGTAGTAGGTAATGTACAATGGGCTTCCAAACTTTTGTAATAATAAACACGCTGCTTTTATTGCTAGCTATCTTTCACCCTACCATGATATTTATTTAGGGAACAAATCCACTGGGGTGTTTATTTAAAAGATAGCAAGGGTATACCATATTTATGGAGTAAAGTATCTCCTTAGATGCATTGTGTTCCAAGTCCTTGACATGTCTTGACCATCAGGGAGTGACTGTTTTACAGTATTTGTTCCCACCACTTTACGCACTTTGTAAGGACCCTCCCACTGGGGGGGGGGGGGGGGCGGTGAACTTTCCTTGACTTGGAATGTGTTTGAAGTTTCTCATCAGAACCCATTCTCCTTCCCTGATGGGTCGATTTCTCACCTTGGCGTTGTAGTAACGCGCGATCCTCTCTTTGGAAGCGGCGAGTTGCAAAAGTGCTTCCTCTCGACACTCCTCGATGAGATGTAGATCATGAGTGATCTCGATTTGATTTTCATCGGGGTGGAATGCTTGGATTCTGTAAGAGGAGAGCTCCATTTCAATTGGCAGCACAACATCGGTGCCATAAGTGAAGAAGTATGGTGTCTCCCCAGTGGAAGTCTTGTAAGTTGTCAGGTGGGCCCAAAGCACATGGGGCAGCTCCTTGACCCATCGACCCTTGTCCTGGACTAATCTGGTTTTTAGGCCCCATAGGATGCTTTTGTTAGCAGCCTCATCCTGACCGTTAGCTTGAGGATAGGCCACCGGGGCATATCGAAGTAGGATTCCATATTGGGCGCAGTAGGCCTGTAAATTTTCGCTCTTGAATTGTGTCCCCTGATCCATGATTAGAGTGTGAGGGAGACTGAACCTGGATAAGATGTTTAGCCATAAAAACTTTTCAACTCTCTGAGTGGATAGGCTAGCGATCGCCTCAGCCTCGATCCACTTGGTGAAATAATCAATGGCTACGATCACCCATTTCTTTCGTCCGGGAGCCATGGGAAACGGTCCCAAAAAGTCCATCCCCCATTGAGCGAACGACCATAGTTCGATGTTAATCTGCATTTTTGATGGAGGTGCATGAGTGGTTTGTGCGGCCACCTGGCATTTGGGGCATGCTTGAGCATACTTTCGAGTGTCCCGCCGCATCGTGTGCCAGTAATAACCTAGTCGTATAAGGGTTTTTTTCCAAGTTACGAGGACCAGCATGCATCCCACATAATCCTTCATGTACCTCATGTACGGCAAAGTGTGCTTCGCCAATGCTAAGGCACCGCAGGTAGGGTCCAGTGAAGCCTTTCTTGTATAAATCTCCCTCGATCAGGAGGTAACGAGGGGCAATTTGGGAGCATAACATTGTTGGACGCCTTTCAACGATCACATGTCTCTCGCTGAGGAAGTCTTGTGCTGTTGCAAGTTTTGATAATGCATTTGCATGAAGATTATCCGTACGAGATATGTGGACTATCTCTGCTTGAGGAAACTCAGAGAGCATCGTACAAGCGGCATTGGTGTATGGTACCAGCGTGGTCTCTCGTACCTCGTATGCCCCTTGCAGTTGATTGACAACTAGGGCAGAGTCGGAGTGGACCCTAATTCGTTGAATGCCCAACTCTTGAGCCATAGTCTGTCCCACTAGGAGGGCTTCATACTCGATGGCATTATTCGTCATGGTGCTGGCAAAGCGAATTGCCAATTCATGAGTGACTCCGAGAGGAGTAATGAGCAGAACTCCTTCTCCTGATCCAGTTTTACTAGATGCACCATCAACGTACAATCTCCACGTTTCTGTTTCTGGTGGGAGGCATGCTCGAACACCTTCTGCGATAAAGTCAGCTAAAACTTGGGACTTGATGGCGGTGCGAGGGAGGAAAGTGATATAGTATTCACTAAGCTCGATGGCCTAGTTCACCATTCTACCAGCAACATCCACGCGCTGAAGTAGACGACGTAAATGTAGTTGGGAGAGTATGCATATGGGGTGGCTTTGGAAGTACGGACGCAGCTTTCGAGTGGCAACCACCACAACTAGGGCGGCTTTCTCCACGGGAGAGTATCTTGTTTCAGCATCTAACAGGGTATTACAAGTGTAGTAAATTGGATGCTCTGTATTGTCTGTATCTTAGCATACGAGTACAACACTCACAGCCTTGGAGGAGGCAACAAAGTACAAGTACAAGTCTCATTGTTGACGGGAGATGAGAGTATTAGGGGATTCACCAAGTACTCCTTAAGTTCCGTGAAAGCTTTCTCACATTCCGGAGTCCACTGAAAGGTTTTTCCAGCTCCTTTTAGGGTGTTGAAGAAAGGGGCACACCGATCCCCAGCTCGTGAAATGAATTGATTGAGTGCCGCAATCCTTCATGTTAGAACCTGTACTTCTTTATGCTTTGTAGGTGATGTCATATGGAGAATCGCTTCAATTTGCCTAGTTTTAACCTCGATTCCACGTCTTGTCACCATGAATCCTAGAAACTTCCCTGCATTGGCCCCGAAGATGCACTTCTTTGGATTAAGGCACAAGTTGTATCCTCGTAGGGTATCAAAACTCTCGCGTAGATCTTCTAAATGTGCATGTGTCTCTGCACTTTTTATTAGGATGTCATCCACATAGGCTTCAACATTTCAATCGAGTTGTCGGGAAAAGACTCATTCGACCATACATTGGTAGGTAGCTCCGACATTTTTGAGGCCGAACGGCATCACCTGTAGCAATAATTTCCTACCGGAGTCATGAAGGCAGTATATTTTTTATCGTCCTTCTTTAGTGGGATTTTGGGGTACCCTGAGAACATATCAAGAAAAGAGAGATGGCGATGGTCGGCGGTCGCATCGATAAGCAGATCAATCTTGGGCAGGGGATACAGGTCCTTCGGGCAAGCCTTGTTGAGATCGGTGAAGTCAACACACATTCTCCACTGGTCGTTGGCCTTTTTAACCATAACCACATTAGCCAACCATGTTGGGTAGAGAACCTCACTAATGAAGCCGGCTTGCCCTAGTTTGATTACTTCCTCTGCTATGGCCTGGCGACATTCCCATGCAAAGTTCCTTCTTTTTTGCTGGATGGGCTTGCTACCTGCGATAATCCCTAGTGTATGTTTGGCAACTTTTGAATCGAGACCAGGCATATCCTCAGGTCCTTGAGCAAAGAGCTCTTTGTACTCGATCATCAAACTGAGAAGTTGTGGGAGATAATTTTTAGGCCATGCCATGGATACACGAACGGTTCGCCCTTCTTCTAATGTATGTTCTTCATCGAGGTTGACGGGAACGGGACGAGCGACATCGTCTTTGGCTTCAATCGTGGCCACAAAGTCATATTTAAGGGAGAACTCACAACACTGTCGTGCAAGAGCTTGATCTCCCTTCACACACCCGACTCCGGCAATAGTTGGGAACTTCAATTTTAAGTGCAGAGTTGAGGGTATAGCCCAAACTTGATGTAAAAAAGGGCGTCCGAGAATGCAGTTGTACGCAGAAGGGCAGTCAATAACATGGAAGTTGATTGTGGTCTCTACGGTTTGTTGGTCATTGCCAATACGAACTTGGAGTGGGAGAATCCCCAAAAATGGGACAGAATCCCCAAAAATGGGACTTGATTTCCGGAGAAGCCCACAAGGTAAATGCTAGGAGGTTGACATTTGTTTAGCTAAAGACCGATGGACTTGAAAGCTGGGTAGAATAAAAGATCTGTAGAGCTTCCTCCATGTCCTGTACAATGGTGGAATTCGCAGTAGAATTGTTGACCCTATCCTGAAACCCTCATAACTAGAGGAGGTTGAGTAATGGGAATTTTCTTCTCTCGAATGACCTGAAGAATGGCTTGTCTAGAGCGATTGAGAGGAGTATAGCTTTGTTTTAACAGGGTGGCTTCCCTTTTGGAATTTTGGGAAGAGTTTCAGCCCTCGGGTGCAAGAACTTGACGTTGTCGGCGAGAATCATGGGATGAAGTCTCTAGTTTTATTTTGGATCCTGCCCGACTAACCTCCTGAAGTGCCTCTTCTAGATCAATATATTTTGAAACTCTCTCTTGAATCTCCATAGTGTTGTGGGGAGCCCGTTTTGCAAGAGAAGCATATAGAACAGTGTTGATAGTCCCTCGCATCAGGGCATTGGTGGCAATCTCCGTGGAGATGGATGTAAGTCCGATGGCGATGTTACTATATCGAGTATAGTATGCCTTGAGTGTCTCATCATTACGCTGCCTGATGCTGAGAAGTTGATGGATGATGATAGGCTGTTTTTTCTGTGCGTAGAATTTGCATCTAAAGAGAGTGGCAAATTCGAAGAAGCTGGAGATAATACCATCTTGTAACTTTGAGTACCATCGTCGGGCATCTCCACGGAGTGTTGCTGGGAAGATTTTCCACATTGTTGCATCAGATGCTCCGATTAATGGCATTAGGATTTGAAAATAGCAAAGGTGGTCTTCTGGATCTGTGGTGCCATAATACTCTGGCAAGCTTGGTAAATGGAGATTTGGTGGGTAGGGCTCATCTTGCACGATTATGGATAGAGGTCCTCCTACTCCAGTTGTAGAGACAACTCCATGTCTTTGGGATGGTTCGAGTAGATTGGCTGAGAGACTCGGGGCGGTTAATCCAACTGGTGCTGATGTCGCATTTGGTGGTTCATTGATCGAGCCATGGGCAACAACTCTATCCTGGTATTTTGGTGTCGGTACTCTAGAGGAACCAGGAGCATTAATATGGGAGTCCTCTCTGGCTCTGAGTTGAGCTCTGAGTCGCTCAATCTCAGCCTGCATCTCACGTACTTGTGCCGGAGTAGGGGTGAGAATTCCTTCTGGTGCTGGAATAGAGGTAGTATGTGCAAGTGGAACCACTCTGGTCTCTATATTTTGACTTGGTGCCTCGCTGAGTGGTGAACGGGGGGTTGGGTAGCCCCCAGTCTCGATTACTCTTAAAGAGCGACGTACTGCTTCGATAGTAGGAATGCTGGGAGAACATTGGGTATTCATCACGGCTTAGTGGTGGTTTGTTAAAACTTTGGAAATATTCTTCTTACCGGGCCCCACGGTGGGTGCCAATTGTTGATGCCAAGCTTAAAGCAGCCTGCTTCAATATGTTTAAGGTCCGGAGAGAGTCAATTTCTCAAAGCCTTTAACCACCTTCAGCTCCGTGCGAATACCTGAAAAAAGGTCCCACGGGGGGGGGTTTGGAACCTCCTCCGACGCTCAAATTAGTAACCTGAATGGAATAAAATAAATATGATGACGTCGTCGACTATTTAATGTCGCCCGGTGGAGACTATCCATGATTCCATGGATTAGTCCGCCAAATTGAGGGTGTGTTGAGTGTTTAGAGATTTAACACGTTTTGGGAGATCGGGAGGAGAGAGAACAAGTTTTTAGAGAGAGAAAGTAGAGAGAGTGTGTATTGTGTGTGAGTTGTGTTGTGTGAAGTAGTCGTAAGCGACTTATGCTGTGTGTGTGTGTGACTTGTTGTTGTTTAGAAAGGGGGAGGGGTGCTCCCTATTTATAGGAAAAGGTCGTAGTTGAATTCTTCGACTTACGTTAACATCCACCAACATTCTCCATTACTCTCTTATACTCGTTAATATTCTCCGTCATACACCAATATTCCTCACCAATTATTGTATATGGGAAAGTCCAAGTGTGTATGTGTAAGTAGGAGAAAGTGTAAGTATATAAAAGAGTATGAATATATGGAAAATGGGTAAACAAATTTGTTTTAGTTCTCTACGTATGCATGTTATTCCATGAATGTGTAGGAAAATAAATGAGATTATGAGAAATGAGTAAAGGAAAGAACAATATTCTTGTCTTTTCCTTGTAGTTTTGTAGATGTAGCTTGGTAATGGAAAGGAAAGATGGTGGAGTTTTTTTTATGCATGTCCATGCATGTAAGGGTGTGTATGCATGTGTGATAGAGTAAAGGAATATGGGGGAAGATGGAAGAAAGAGACGAATAAACAGGAAAGGAGAGGAATGGTTCTTCCACTTCACATGTGGAAATGTAAGAGAAGGAAAAGACAAAGAAGTTTGTTGTCTTCTTTTCTCTGTACGAGGAAGGGAGATAGAGAAATAGGAAAAGAAAAGAAAGAAAAAGGGAAGTGAGAGGACGTGGGAAAGGACAAAACTTATGGTTTATGGAAAAAGAGGGAAAATAAAAGGACAAAGGTGAAGTTTAGGATAAGTGTAGGAAAGTGAATGAAAAAACAAAAACAAGAGTTACAGAAATAAACAACATAGTAGACGGAGGGTTCTAACAGAGGTGTTTAATATTTTTAAAATTTTATCGGTTAAGAATTGGGTCTGTTATAAACGCACTGCTACGGATCGGGAAATCACCAGAATCGACAAAGCAAGAATACGAAAGCGAGAATCGAAAACACGACACACGATTTACGTGGTTCACTAACACGATGTGTTTTAGCTACGTCCACGGGCGAGAGAGAGCCAGTTTCACTATATCAAGGAGATTACAGATTACAGAGGAGTATGAGAAGTATTTATAGTACTTCTCCATGTGGGTCTAAACCTAATCCAATCTGGCAAAGGAAATGGTTACAGACCAGGCCCAGAACCCGAACCCAAATAACATTGAGCCCATACACCGTGGCCCAGACCCCCGATTACCAATCGTAGCGCTTGATAGTCTGATTCAAGTCATATCAACAAATCTCCACCTTGACTTGAATCCTCTTCCTCTTAAATCTCTGATGTACTCTGCTCCTTCTATCTCTCTCCCGCCATCAATGCCCCGTAGGGCGGAGTCACCCACTCAAGACATTCAGCAAGTCCAAGCAGTGTTGGAACTTGCCATGTTGAACCGGCTTCGTGAACATATCAGCAGGATTATCCGCGGTGCCAACCTTCTTCACCTTAATCCTCTTCTCTGTCCTCAAGAAATGATACCTCACATCGATGTGCTTAGTCCTCTCATGGTGGACTTGATCCTTGGCCAAGCATATTGCACTCAAACTGTCGCAATACACCACTGCCTGATCATGATGTAGGCCCAGATCACCAACCAGTCCCTTCAACCATATTCCCTCCTTAGCAGCTTCTGTCAACGCCATATACTCTGCCTCAGTGGTAGACAAAGTCATCGCCGACTGCAAAGTTTCCTTCCAGCTCACTACAGAACTCCCAAGAGTGAATACATAACCGGTCATCGATCTCCTCGTGTCAACATCTCCAGCATAGTCCGAGTCAGAATACCCAGACACCAAGCACTCTGTATCACTTCGGAAGCTAATCCCCACATTAGGTGTACCCTTAAGATACCGTAAGATCCTCTTCACAGCCTGCCAATGCTCCTTCCCAGGTTGTATCATAAACCTGCTGACAACACTAACAGCATGTGCAAGATCAGGTCTAGTGCATACCATAGTGTACATCAAGCTACCTACTGCACTAGCATATGGGACTCTCGACATGTACTCCTTCTCAGCCTCTGAATGCGGTGCATAAGCTGAGGATAGATGAACATTTGAAGCACTAGGAGTATTTAAGGGCTTTGCTGAAGACATGCCAAACCTCAACAGTATCTTCTGGATGTAGCTCTTCTGTGACAAGAAAAGCTTCTTCTTCGACCTGTCCCTGTAAATCTCCATACCCAAAATCTTCTGAGAAGCTCCCAAATCCTTCATCTCAAACTCAGCACTGAGAAGCCCCTTTAACTTCTAGATATCAGACTTTGACCTCGCAGCTATGAGCATATCATCCACATACAGAACCAGATAGATCATCGAACCATCCTCCACCTTGTTGTGATACACACAACAATCATATGGACTTCTGCTATAGCCCAGCTCAAGCATGTAACTGTCAAATCTCTTGTACCACTGCCTCGGAGACTGCTTAAGTCCATACAAGGACTTCTTGAGCTTACAAACATAGTCTTCTTTTCCCGGAACATCGAATCCTTCTGGCCGAGTCATGTAAATTTCTTCCTCCAACTCTCCATGTAGGAAAGCTGTCTTCACGTCTAGCTGCTCGAGCTCCAAGTCATAATGTGCCACTATTGCTAGTAGCACTCTGATCGAAGTATGTCTGACCACTGGTGAGAAAATCTCATTGTAGTCAACTCCTTCCCTCTACGAGAAGCCTCGTGCAACCACCCGAGCTTTAAATTTCATGCCCTCTTTAGAAGTGATTCCTTCCTTCTTCTTGTAGATCCACTTGTTTGTAACAATCTTCCTTCCCTGTGGTCGTTTGACTAGCTCCCAAGTCTGATTCCTGTCATGGGATTCCATCTCATCTCCCATTGCGGCAAGCCACTGATCAGCTTCACCACCCGAAACTGCTTCTCTATAGGACTGTGGCCCTCCTGCATCCACTTCTTCAGCAACCTGAAATGAATACGCCACCATGTCCTCGAAGCCATACCTCTATGGAGGTACTCCTGCAGTCGCTCTCTTCGGTCTACCGGAAGCAATAGACTGTTGAGCTTGTGCACTGGACTCTGAAGTTTCTGGCTCTGCAGAGACATCCTCATCATGTTGATCTTCTCCACCTTGGTGCTCAAACTCACTATCTTTGAAAGTTTACAGCTCCGCCTGCTTATCAACATTCCTGCTACCTTCAACAACAGTAACCTTCAACATGGGGTTAAACATAGACTTCTCATCAAATATCACATTTCTACTGAGTATAACTCGATGCCCCTGGACCCCACTCGCTGACCGGGCAGCGAGACCCCCGATTACCAGTCATAGCGGCTGATAGTCCGATTCAAGTCATATCAACAGGGTCTATCATCTCCCTTCCTTCATGTAAAGTGGCATAACAATCATTCATCTCATTTCCTTCTCTCTCGTTCTCTTTCTTTCATCTTCCCCCACATACATTATTAACATGACACTTACACATGCATCCTATTCCCCTTCGTTTCTCCCAATTTCCTTCACTCTCCCACGCATGCATAGATACATCTCCCACATACATGGCCATGCATGAAAAACCATTCCATTCCACTACCACGTTTAAAGTAATAAAGGAAAGACAAGAACATCATTCATTCCCCTACTCATTTCTCATACATTCATGCAATGCCATGCATCCGTAGAGAACTAAAACCAATTCATACCATATATTCATACTCCTTTATGTACTTACATTTTCTCCTACTTTCACATACACACTTGGACTTTCCCATATACAATAATTGGTGAGGAATATTGGTGTATGACGGAGAATGTTAAGGTCTAACGGAGAATATTAACGAGTATAGGGGAATAATGGAGAATGTTGGTGAATGTAAACGTAAGTCGAGGAATTTAACTACGACCTTTTCCTATAAATAGGGAGCAACCCTCCCCCTTTCTCATAACACCATAAGTCACTCCACACAACGCAAGTCACACACATAACATAAGTCGCTTACGACTACTTCACACAACACAACTCACACCCAATACACTCTCTCTCTAAAAAACGTTTTCTGTCTCCTCCCGATCTCCCAAAACTTGTTAAATCTCTAAACACTCAACACACCCTCAATTTGGCGGACTAACCCATGGAATCGTGGATAATCTCCATCGGGCAGCATTAAATAGCCGACGAAGCTCAATTACGATTGTGGGATCGAACTAAGTCTAACGTTATAGTGTTTTTTTTATTTCATTCAGGTTACTAATTTGAGCATCGGAGGAGGTTCCAACCAGGACTCCCCTGGTGGAACCTTTGTTAGAATATGACTTGAATTTAATTTGGGTTTGTTTTGTGTTTTGGGCCTATTTTGTTTGAGTTTGTGTTTGGGCTTTGTTTGACCTTTTCCTTGTATGTTTGGGAAAATGTGTATGGTTTTCTGTTTGGGATTAGGAGAAGAGTTCTATAAATACTCTTCATCACCCTAGTCTCTAGTAAGGTCAGTCAGGTTAGTTTGTTTGGTTTGTCCGTTTGGAATTTGGTTTGTAACCTGTACTCTCCTCAAATTAGTGAAATTTGTCCCCCCTGCCCGTGGATTAGCTAGCACACATTGTGTTAGTGAACCACGTTAAATTTGTGATCATTCATGCTGGTTTGGATTGTCGT